TTGTAGCGCAATGTTCAAGGATTTCAAAACGCATTAGTTTGTATTTTTAGCTGCAAATCTTCACCTTGAAATATCATTTTGAAATCAGCTATTTTGCGGTGCCCGCATGGACGGCTCTAACCTCACTATCTTATATTGTTATTTTTATCGTTGTTCATAGCTTCAGCCGGCCACACGTTTGCTGACGTGTTGTTCTAAACACAACGAAACATATCCAGGTGCAGGCCATCGATTATTTAACCCCCACCCCCCCAAAAAAGTGAAAAGTAAAACCCTCCCCTGATTGCGATTTGGGCCAACTTTAAAAGGCCGTAAGTAACGAAATCATGAAAAATCAAAGAAACCGACAATTGATTCTTGAAGTTCGAAACCTTGTCTACAAGTTCCCGTAGTCGGTTTTTGCGGTATTTTGCGGTCTTGCGAGAAATAGACTTGTCTTTGGACGGATTTTGGTGGACTTTGCGGTGGCGCGGTCTAATAGGGTCGCCTAACCGACTGCACCTCGTATGAAATCATTGAAAAAGTGTCAAAAATCCCTTAAAAAATCATGCAGAGTCCTAAAAAATCAGAAAACAATTAAAACAAAACCCTATTTAAAAATCGTAAAATATTGTAAAAATGGTGAAAAAATCGTAAAAATTCGATTTTTTTTTGTAAAAATCAGCAAAAAATCAGCAAAACTCAGCGCAACCGTAGACCTCCGAAACCAAACTTTCACGTGATTTGAGTAAGATTTTGAAATCTCCCCCCCTTTTTGACCTGGATCCGCCTCCTAAAAGTTCAAAATTATTAAAAAAATGGAATCAGCGCACCCGAAAACCCCCCGGAACATACCGACATCGTATGTGCGATGCACCCATTAACTGTTATGATTTATGTCCGCTTTTTTTTGGGCTCTAGCCCACTGTGCGCCCTCTACCCGAGGGGGCCACCACTCTCTCTTTGGATGTACACATGATTGCAAAGATTGCGTGATTCCACATGATTTCACGGATTTCGCATGTTATTTTAGAAGATTTCACGCTAAAACCTGCCGGCAGATTATGTCTGGTTTGAAGGATTACAGATGATTTCAGCGGATTTTACCGGATTTAGGCGGATTTCACAAGATTCCGGCGGATTTTACGTGATTCCGGCGGTTTTTAGCCCGCCCTTCTGCTTTTAAAAAAGCATTAAAGCGGGCTTATGCAACCGCTCTCGTGTCCGTCCGTCCGTCCGTCTGTCCGTCGTCCGTGTAAGAGGAAGGAGATGAGCTAGAGGTCTGAAAATTTCAGGGTATCTTAGGGGTCACTCCTGGACAACGAAACGCCTGGTGCAAATCCTGGCAACCACCCCTAAGGGGGTGAAAGGGGGTAACAAAGAAATAGGGGCTGGTCCAAAAAGTAGAAAATCAAAAAAAATTCTATGGTCCCCTAATGGGTAACTCGCGAAAGTAGAGCCCTACGGGCGAAAATTTCGTCCGTTTTGCTCCATCTTTTACCGTTTGGGCGCTAGAGGGAGTTTCTATCACGAAAGTGGCCCAAAAATAATCATATTAATTTTAGAAAATATTAGATGGTCTCCTAAGGGGGAACTTGCAAAAGTAGAGCCCTTTGGGCGAAAATTTCGTCCGTTTTGCTCTATCTTTTACCGTTTGGGCGCTAGAGGGAGTTTCTCTCACAAAAGTGGCCCAAAAATCCAGCAAATATAAACCTCCACGCGTGACTCATTAACGATACAAATGTTTCTCGAAAACGGCTCGGCCGATTTGCATCATTCAAAGTG